CTTTCCCCGCGTTACCAGTGGTTTAAAATTATCGGGAAAATCGTCGCGTGGAAATCGATCGAAAGAACGAGGCGAACATTTTTTTTCGCGAGAAATTCGAGATCGTTGAAAAAATACGTCGACGACGAGTCGCGATCGCGAGGGGATCGAAAAGCGACGGATAATATCCTTGGAATAATAAGGATATTATGGAGAATTCGTGGATCGAGAAGGAATGAACGATCGATACTTACACTCATCGGGTACGGGCTGTGTTATCGCACTGGCAGCTCGAAACTTCGCTAAACGGCCTCTAGCCGACGACCCTGGCAGCCATTAACGAGCACGATAATCTATATAAACAGAAAAATGCCAATGTCAATAATCCTTTTCCGAGAACGAGTTCGATCGGATCGAGTCGAGCGAAAAGAAAGATGAAGGGGGGGAACGAGCTATTCGGTCGGCAATTCGATTGTTTACACGAATCTATCTGTAAGAACAAGAACGAATGCTTTTATCTTAATCCACTTGATCCAACTGCGCACGCGTGAAAAATTCTTTCCTTATATTACGTTATTACGATGACCATCGATCGATAAAATTCCCCAAGTTGAGAATGCCATTTTTGGTTCTTTTGGATGGGTTTTTATGCGAAAAAAAAAAAAGGACGAAATTTTTGCTGTGAATCCAATAACACGAGTTATCAACGAATTATTGGAAAATACGCGTCGAAGACTTTTTAAATCGAAAACTGAAAGTGATCGGGCATCGATTCTCGAAGTGGTATTGGCTGCGCATCATCGGAAACGAGAAAGTCTTTAAAAGTTAGCGGCAACGAGCGCCTCTTTCATTTGCATCTGAATCGCAGGTGAATTTTTATTCCATCCAGCTCATATTTTCCATCCTTCGTATCGTGATACGAGTGCGCGCCAACGCTGCCCGTTCCTATCAATCATCCCGGATCCCGTTGCTTGCCACCTCGAGGCTGCGTTCGAAAACTTTCCCTCCCCTTTAACCGACGTCGACACAGTGGAAAAAGGGGAAATGGAGTTTTGGTGCACCGTGGTCGGGGAAAATTTCAGTTTTCCCTTCGAGCGAGCCGAGGAATCCCGACGACGACGACGACGACGACGACGACGACGACGACGCGACGCCTCGGGCAGATGAAACGCGAAAGTGCGTCTAGACACCGAGAATCGTTCCAAAGAGAGAGTCTCTGTCACGAAAGATTTCCTTTTTCACCAATCTTCACCAAAATATTTACCTTATTCGACCAAATTATTTCACGCGAAATGCGATACACAATTTTTCATATTTTGTCGTTTCTGCGTCGAGGTGAAAGTGGATAAGTTGATTCTTTCTTTTTTCCTTTTTCTCTCTCTCTCTCTCTCTTCTCAACCGAAAATGCAGCGGACTTACGAAATTGCGTTTGGAGAAAGTGACTTGGCGAAGACGAAACATCCGATCCCCTCCGCGAGACTTTTTTAAAAGTCTCTCTAAGTGTTTCTGGCATGGCCGAGCAACGATCGACGAAACGATTCGACGAAACGACGACAGTGGACGATAAATGCACCGACGTATTATGCACCACGTTGCTTGGTTACACTGCACACACCGTGGAACGCGACCAGTTTGGTCGAAGCAACGTAAATCGTCGCACTGCGACACACAAGTTTACGTGGGCTTTTAAAACACGGGAAAAGAATTCGTCGTGATTGAAAAATAACCTCGTTATTATCGGCAAATTAATGGCGGGAAGATAAAAACGGGCGATTAAAGCGAGTAATATTCACGATAAAAATAAAACGCACTAAATCCTCACGAATAGAAGTCGAGGTGGAAAACAGACGCAATATTACATTTTCGTAAATTTAAAGACGAAAGCGAATTGCGAACGTGTATGAAATCATATTTCTCTCGACGAACGACACGATTCCATTCGCATTCGTGATATTGTGGTAGGAAATTTTAGAATTAGAACGAAAATAATTAAAATAATGACGCAATAAAAAAAATCGAAATTAATATACACACGGCGCATGCCTGTGTTCTAAATCCCTGCGATATTAAAAAAGAAGAAAGAAAAAAAAGATTTGATCGATTTTCAGACGAGAACTAAAAACTTCACAAAGTTGTCAACGTGGAAATTTAGTTCCAAGTAAGGATTATCGTGATCAGCGAACCGTACACCTCTCTCTCTTTCTCTCTTTCTGCGTTCCACCAGTCTCTTTTTGCTTCATTTCGTGATGAATTTTACCGCTAATTGACCTTTGCCGATGACGTTGTCTGGCTCGTGCTGGCCACGATTCCAAGAAAGTCCACGGCGAGAGTTCGATACGATCCAACCGATACGACCGTTCCCTCAAAAGAACAGGACAATAAATTGCGCGAAAGTTGAAGTTAACGCGGGTACGTCGACCTCCGCAACGATCGATCGTGTATCTCCAGGCTGTGTACTTAAAGGTGCACGCACACCGATGCAAAGGTCTTGTTGCAACAGTACGGATCGATCGCCTCCAACAGAATAGGCCAATCGTTCGCGATTGTTGTTGAAAACCTGCTTAACAGCCGGCCAGAAATTTCCCCGATTTCGCAATATTTCGAAAGGAAACATGATTTAATTCGTATTGGAGAAGCAGACAACTCGTAGATATATCGCGTGCAAAGATTTATTCCCAAGTTTTCGGCGCTTTTCGTACAGGCACGAACGATGATATACCGTTATAACACGTTCGCCACGAGTAGATTTTCGCCGGAAAGTTGGCCGACGCACGCCCGACCGAACGAAATTTTAAGATTCTGCCGGAAACTCGCGCGACCGCAGCGGATTCCAGCCATTGCATCGGCTCCGGTCGTGCTGACGTTTTGTAAACATCGCGTTGCACGATGCAGAAAAGGACTGACGCTGTAAAACCGACGAACAAGCGAAACTCGAACCAGAATCGGCGCTATTCTATTTTCGTATGTAACCGAGTATATGTAACGTAACTTGTTCCTGCGAAATATGTTTCGATGAAAAAATCAAAAAATACCGAAAAACTGAGAGAACGCGCGAGGAACGATCGAATGGAAAGCGAGGATCGATGGAAGAAGAACGCGGAGAACGGTAAACCGTGCGAATTTCAGAAAGCAAGAAAAGAAACGACCATCATTTTCTCTGCTTGTTTTCTGCGCTCCATGCATACGTGCGCGCCGAGCAAATTATAGAGGTTACCCTTCCACATTTACCATCGCGCGGCGACCATTAGGACGCGGTCGAGACTTCTCGATCGATTCGCCTAAAATTACGCGAAAGACGCAGAGAGGAAGGATCGAGAGAAAGGAAGAAACCGTTGGAGAAGCTGTTTCCTATGAACGCGTAATTGCGACCGCTCGATAATTCGAGAGATGCGTAAATTGGTTCGATGGAGAGGCATTTAAAGTTCATCAACCGAAACGATGATATCGATGGATGGGTAGATTGGTATCGTAAATGGATATTATTATGATATCGTTGTGAAATGAAATCGAACAACGGTAATCGTGTTCAAGCAGTGTCTCGAGTAACGACGAGCCGGAAACCGCAGCGAGATATTAGAACTCCGACTGCCTGATTACGAGTCAACAACTATCACTTTGCAACAACTATTCCGTTAATATTGCCAAGCGAAATTCACAAGCGCTTGCGCGAAACGCGATTCGATTAATCATCGCTTTATCGTTTTATTTTCGATTTAAAACAGAGATTAATGAAGGAACAAGACAATTTGTTGCAACATTCGCGTCGAAATAAAGAAAATGATCGGATGTTTAATTTCTCGGTAATTGTACAATTTTTTTGAAAAAACACGCTCGTGCGAAGTGAACGAATAGGATAAATATCGTGAATAAAATCGATAATAGTTGGAACGGCGTGGATGCGTCACCAAATCGATACGAAATTCTTGGAGGCAGAAATCACGATATCCGGTCTGTTGTTAAAGTGCGATACCGAGTTATGCGCGCCTGTATCCACGCGACGCGTTAACTGTCGTTCGCATTTTTCATCTGGCATCTTGGAACGAAATCCTCTGGCCGAGGCGAGCCACGTTCGAAGGACTCGTTATTGCCTTGCACGGATTAACGCGACGTTTACAATTGGAAAAAAGGAGGAAAAATATATGGCCAGTGTAGATAAACGGATAAAAGATTGTTCGACTTGTTATCTGTTCGATAAAATTCCCACGAAGCTTCCTATTTTTTTTTATTATCTCTCTGTCGTAATTATTTTATTCCGACATTTATCCCATTGGAATATTTTCCTTTTTTTTTTTTTTTTTACACTACGTGATGCATTATTCCAATTTCGCGCAATATCGTGCCGAGCTAATATTTTACGTATTGATTGAAACGCAGGACGCGTCACGACGAAAAATCCGAAAGGTTCGACAAAGAGAGCACCTATCATTTTCGCAAGCAATAAAACTGTCCCCCATTAGCGAAGGATGCAACTCCTATTTTTATCTATCTCCGTGACTCGATATACGTTATCGTTATCTGTAATAAGACAACCGAGAAACGAGCTAAACGAGCGAGAGCCAGCCAACTTTCAAGGCTGCACTTGTGCAGGATGTAAAATTAAGGTGCAAAAAACAGGATGAAAAAAGATCAGCGATGAAAGCGTTGCGCAGTACATTTATCCTTTTTCCTCTCTGCACAAGTCAGACATTCACGAGAGGCATCGATCTTTGGGGTCTAGAATGGGGTCTAGCAATCGAGTAAACGACGATCGACCGAAAGCGACTTTTTCCGAAGTGGAGTCTAATTTCGTTTAGAGAATGAAAATTCTCATAAAAGATTTCATAAAATTTCTCGATCATTCAATTTTTCTTCAAAGAACGAATATGTTTTTGTTTAAAATAGACGTGAATATTGGTCTATTTTAAATCACTGACATCAATTTCGTTGTACGTAAATTCATATGAAATATTTTAAAAATGAGCTACGTTTAAAAACGTCAAAGTAATATTCATTAATCAATATTCATTAATATTCAGTAATATTCGTTAATAATTTGTGACTTTTTCAATTAATGTTTCATGGAATAAAAGCAACCACGTACCAAGCACGAATTCTTGGAACTAAATATTGGCTTTTGTTAATTTTTTTTTTCGGAAAATCGACGCGTATTTTTAAAAACGAATTGAACAAATGTTCACGACCAAAGTGGTGAAGTTGTTTAATTACTTGTCAAGAACCAAAATGATGCATCACTCATGATATACATAAATTTCACGGCGAACGAATCATCAAATTTGACCCAAAAACAAAATTCATTATCACCAGGAAAATATTGCCTGGTCTGATTCGATCCTCTAAATAATTTTGATCCTACTAATACACGATAGCCTTCGATAGAAAATCGCCACGAACATAATTCGATTTCGCATATCGTATCCCTGGTGACGTATCTAAACCGAATGTTTAGTTTACCGCGCTTTTGTTTACCATGTTGTTATATTTTTCAGAGTAATGCTGCTCGAATAAATGGCAACGTAGTAAATAAGATAAAGGCTGAATTAAAATTTAAAAATCTTCACTCCATTAGTTTCGCTGTAATTTTGCTCGCAATATTATAATATTAGCTATAATTAATCGAACTAAATCACGAATCGTATTCGTACTCTTAGAAATATTAATTATCTTCGATCGAGTGTCATAAACAGAATTCCTTGAACGCGATTCACATTCAAATGACATGACGCGGTACGATGACGAGACACAGCGGAACTTTCCTATCGACCGTGAAGAACATACGTGGCAACAGAGAGAGAGACTTTTTTTTCTCTCATGTATCTCCATTCATCTCGAGATGATTTTATTTTCGGTCGATCAAAACGAAACGGACATATGCACGTGCGAAATAACTCTAATGCCAACAGAGTTCGTGGAACATAGGTGTTTCCATGCGACACACGTCCACTGGCAAAAGCGACGCTCCCAACACGAGATATATGGGTTCCGCGAGGAAAATATGCGGCCATTCATCCGACGAGAATGACAATGAACGAATGAAATCACGTCCACGTGTTTCTACCCGGCTAATCGACTTCGTTTACCTTCGTAGCTCATGGAGAAAAATCTCGAGATAACGTGCTTTCGTATGCTATCTGAACAATTACGTAAGGCTTCCAATCGTGTTCGAGAAATATTTTTCTGTTCCGTAGAACGATTTATTTTGCGATTGTATATGCGGAGAAACGACAATTTGAAATATACGTGGATCGATTAGCACGTCAAATTCGCGGACAGAAAACAAATGTTTCTTTGGCAAAAAAGAAATATATATTGAAAATATGCAGATGATATCTATAATAGTAAGTAAATGACCTGACGTCATGCCTAGGCCTTGAAACGAGCGAACTCTTGTAAGGGTCTCGACTCGGAGTGGGGACAAGGCGATAATACTTTCGAGCGAGACGAAGCATTGAAGCGACGATATTCGATCTGAAATCTCTTTCTCTAAATAGATTCTTTAGAAATTTGTGTTATACCTGGCTCATCTTCGAGAATCTTCTCTTCGCGAATACAATAAGTAGGTATTACATCTCAAAACATCTGTACTGACTGCATTGTGCATTTTGCGAAATGGCAAACTGCTGTAATGTAACCGGTGTCGCGAAAGCTACACTCTTGTAAAATATATGGTGGGTTTAAGATAATAGTATGTGCTCGCCTCAGCTATGGATTTCGAAGCTGGCGTGCAGCTACCTTTGTACCCGGCTATCAAACTGATGTAAGATTTGTGCGCTTTCAGATAAAACCGCGTTCGACTTCGAAGGTGATTCCTCCTGTTTCGACGATCGAAAAGAGCTTGTTCCCGAGCTCGCTATCTCGCGTGATTCACGATCGTCGACGGGCTATTTTCCACGCGAAGGCCGTTTCACATGCGTTCGAATCTCGCTTTTGGAACGCTCGATGAACACTATATTCCCATATGGAATGGATTTAACGACAAATAACGCATATAACATAATACGGAGGGGAGAATCTCTTGTATAACGCCTCTGTTTATTTTACTTCGTTCGATCGAATCTCCCTTTCCTGTACAAATTTCATTTTATGTGCGATACGGGCGCATCGTACACGAATCCCAGGTAGGTAAAGGATCGCGAATGTTTACACGTTCGCAGCTCTAAACGCGATTGGAACGAGGCTTTCCACGATCCTGAACGGTTCGTTTTAGCTGACGCTATTCGGAAAACATCCACTGCATTTTGTATCGTGTGCCTCTACGTGCTCGCGAGTCGAATCGATGATACTTTTGTCTCGAAAGTCGATACCTGGTTTCTATATGCTGATTATACGCTCTTGAAATTGCACAACACTGCTCGTTGCCAAAACATCACGATCTTTCAACTTTATTCTTTTATTTACTTATTTTTTTCTATTTTTTCGACGATATTATCGTTATTAATAAAGAACATAGTCCAATGTAAACAGAAATACACTCTTCCCACCTTGAATTCAATCTCGTTGAGATATTTCTTTTCGTTTTTCGTCTTTGCTCGAACGATCATCAGTTTATTCGTGGATCAGTGACACTAACGACTTAATTGAAAAAATAAAATAACGACCGAAAATAAAATACCGTACGAATCAAACTGCGCGAAATTCAAACAAAAAAATGTAAATAAGTATCCGTTACAAACGGATTTAGAAAAATCGATATTTCATCGCAAAGAATAATATTACGTGCATTTTAAAAACATAATAATTCTAAAAATCATAACATCTAATGTTACACGCCTCGACTAGGTTAAACACGGATCCAACGGTCACGCACACAGGCGCAAGATTAAGTACGGGACAGGATCCAACACAGAACAATTTTACCTGGTCGTGTTCTATGCTGACTGGACTAACTAACTAACTGGTTCCGAACACTGGCCAAAATTTAAATTCCATGAAAACAGCTAACACGCGAGTGAAAACGTAAACACGAGGTCTCGTATACGTCGTTGGGAGAATGGTAACAAGCCAACGATGATACTGTATGCTTGAATATATCATTCTTGGAAAAAAAAAAAAGAAAATCCATTACGAAATCAAAAGTTTTGCCAATAGAGATTTTGCAAGAGACAGTATTTGTCCTGTAAAAATTTAGTTCGTGAAGATTTTTAATGCGACAGAGTTCTTTCGTATGCATTCGTGAGTCTTGAGAGTGTGTAGAGGGAAGCAGACGTCCTCGACGCGACGAGTACGTTTCTGGAAGCTACCAGAGAGATCGCCTAATTCTGTCACCGATGCTGAACGTTACACGGCAGCTCTGCTAGTAAATATGCCGAATGTACTATATCTGAGTAAACGACATGCAGACACGATAACGCGGTATCCCAAGGAAACGAGCATCGAGTAACGTGTATTTCGTTTTTAAACGAAAAATCTCGATTTAACGACGAAAAAAATAAACGAGAAAATGTTGTACGAAATAATACGAAAAATATCAACGTTCAATCGAATGAAGTTTCAATTTCTCTTTAAAAGATGGAATAAAAGAGAAGCCCAATACCAATGAAAGTCGCGTAAATTCGTTACCAGGAAAAATACATCGATAGCTATTTCGAAACAAAGAGAAGCATCACGTCCTGCGGAGTAACATACAGGAAGTACGCGGAAGAACGTTGGCATGTCGTGCATGTCCTCGTTCATGGAAATCGCGATTTCGCTTCTAGCAGTCCCATCGATTTACCTTTTATCCTCGTACAACGCGAGTCAGCGTGTTTTATCGACTATGGCCACGACGACGTTTCGACGATCGACACACTGTCCGTGTTACCTAACGACGAAACGATCTCACCCGTTTCGATTTGCGAAACGTGTTTGTAAACGAACAAGAGTGACACCACGGTGAACAGACGAAGCTTATAGGAACGACGTTCGACACGTTGCGGACAGAAGGCCGTTTTACACTGACCCCCTGCCACTGGAACTTCTACGTATAACCATCGTCTACGTCCTGCCACGGTTGCCATGTTGCGTGCTTGCCTGTGTGTGCGTTGCCTATAGTCTGCTCACCGCCGGTGTGCATGCCATCGTAAGTGTCAGGTTCTCCCACGGAACTGTATACACTGAAACGCTTACGTAGTTACGACAAAGAACTTTGAATTCTCTTCTTTGTACGCGTGCCTCCATATTCGAAGTTCCTTCGAGTCGAGAAGAAACCGTTGTCCTATGACGATCGAGAAAGATCGAGAAAGAAGAAAAAAATTCGAACGGTTTAATAACGGAAGTTTAATAATGGAAAATTTTTCAATAGAATCGTTAATTCAACCGGAACAATGTATGAAAATAGATCGATATAGGAGTGGGGATTCTCGTATCGTGATTCTGATCAACACTGCTATTTTACGATTTATCGTTTGAGAAATGACAATGCTTTTGACTCGTTATGTAAGCAGCTGATAAGTAGACAATTTTGAGGTAGGTGAAGAAGAAAGATTTGAATGAAGATAATCTAATCTTTGCAGAAAAGGTATATAATTAATAGATTATTAGAGGAAAATGTAAGCCATATTGTGAGATTAAAGAAGATTGGAAATCGGCCAATCGGAAATTAGAATTGGCGATAAAATTTCCACGAGGTTACGCGTAATTACGTAATTCGTTTTTCACTTATTCACTAATAAATAACCATGTTTATTCTACGAGTTCACGTTCACGGTTGATCGAACAATCTTCCACGGGCTGAAACCGATGAATGGGAATGTGAAACAGTGCTATACGAGCTTATCGCGAAAAATATATATGTATATATACATGTATATATATATATTCGAAAACACGCTACAACGGTTCTCAATTAATCGAAAAATAGAATTCCATCAAAAAATCACGCGTGGCGCGATAAGAGGCGAGTCGAATTCGATTATTTGCGATCTCCATTCGCGATTTAGATAATATTATTGACGTCATCAAATTGCATCTCTTCTCCAAAAATATTATTATTATTAATATTTGCTTCTATATCCTTGCATTAACATACACCAGTCCTGATTTGATTAACATTATCGCTATTCTCGGTTCGTAATACGCAATCGTTTTTTCAAGATCATCACGAGCAATATGTTTTCGAAGATCGATCGTTTTTCGAGAGAAGCGAGCAGTTGCTCGTTCGAAACTTGCGAAACGAATCGAGCACGAGACGAGCAAATCCGTTCAATCCGCAATAATTCTCTTTGCGAATCGATTTACGACGTTATGACAAACGACGGGAAACACGAGAAGATCGAAGATCTCGCATTATCTTTAATCGCCTCGAATCATACTTACGTAAAATTCCCTTATAGTCCCAGACGACTGGGTTACGTAACGATCACTAATTTGTTTCTCGATCTCGGCTACGAGTTTAACGCGACGAAGAAATCGTGTCACGACATATTTCGAAATTCCTCACAATATAATATAACGATCGCATCGTGTTCGCTCGTGTAACGTCACTTGGCCGAATCGATAGGCCGTGAATCATCGAGGGTTGGACGAAAAACCGACCGATTTTACCTTGGTATCGCGCAACGCGTTAATACTAATGGCTCGTAATTAAATTTCAAAGGCAGTGTATTTGGTGGATACGACGTGAAATTATCACTGTCGCGCACAGTAGATACGCGTTTAGATACGCGTGGAAGGGGGAAAAAAATATAGAAGAGAAGAAAAAAATAGAGGAATCGGAGAGCAGGAGAGGGGGAAGAAATATCTATCGTTGATTCAATTAATATTATCGCGAAATATCGCGAGCGTCGTTAAAACATTTCATTGACGAAACGAAATTTACGCGATGTTTTACACATTTTGCAAACACGGATCACCGTACGCCGTGCTCATAATTCATCTGTTACGATGATAGTCACTCGCGGGCCCAAGATGAACGGAATCCTCGGTGAATAAGTCACGTCCTCGCCTCGTTACCGGGACACTTTTGCGTCCTCTCTTCGGTGTGACTCGACCGCGAACACTTAACCCACTTGCGTGGCATACATTTCAACAAAAGTTTATCAACGCGATAACGCGAATCATCGGTTTATTGTCTCAGACCCGCGAAACTCGTTATCATTGTTCGATGCCATTATCAAGTCATCGGTATTAATACATTTACTTTCTACAAACATTTCTATACGTATTATTACGTATCGCGGTTAACGTACAATTATTTCTCGTTCGATTAAATCCCCCTCCGTTAAAGTTAATTTTTTTAAAAGCTTGCCCGATTCGGTAATCTTAATTCAACGAACCAATTGAAGAAAATGAAGTTAAACGCGCCATTCTTGCCAAGCTGTCCACCATGATAAATGAACCTTGGTATTCACGATTAAAATCTTAGCTTCCATTTAAACGACATCTGTTCGCTATTTCCTTAATTCAAAATTCTCGTCCGTTAAGATAATAATTATAATACACGAAATCTGAATTACGATCAATGGTAGAATAACGATACCTAATTTGATCTAATTTAAAAAAAATCCAATTCTAGGGAATGTGTAATGTAAATTGTTGTGTAAATTATACGGGGAGGAGAGGATTTCGTTCCATCGACGAATCGAAGCCAGTCTCCCTCTTCGTTCCAATCGAGATCACGGCGTTTCATGCAAATGGCCGAAGATTTGTCAGAGCGCGGGGTCTATTTTCAATTACCAAAATCTGGAATGGCTTCATCCTCGCGAGAGGCGGCGTCATACGAGGCCCTGAATCTCTCCCGGGATCTTCCCCGTGGCGCTTTGGTAATTTACATACGATTAATCTTGATCACTGCTCCGCCACCCTCCTCCGTCGAGACCCTCCGTCTTCGCAGGCGAAACGACGAGAGGCTGGCACAGGCCCATGATGGATCGTTACATTCAGGTTATACCGCGGGATAAATTCTCGTCGAAACGAGGATCGATCTAATTAGACAGTCCCCGCGGATGCCGTATTCACCTCGAATTCAAAGGATCCACGTATAGATTTTCCTTTCGCCAATCGCCACGCCAAGTGGTACCTTCGAAGAACCCGAAATCGGATAACAAAATTTCGTCCCATCCTTGATGTAGAAAAATATATGGTTCACGGTTGGACGACACGACGAGGAGGGGTGATCGAAGAGCGATTGCCAAAAATCGGGAGCAATGGTGGAAAAGGCGGCGATGTAGGTCGTTAATTAAAAACGGGGCGCATATAATGACGAGTGTCGTGAACGGTTGACAGATCGCGCACGTTTTCACAGAATTTCCGAGCTGCGAGTCTGGCAACGGATGAATCGACGAAATTAGACGCAGTTCTATCGGCGCGATGCAGAGACATTGGCAAACCGAAAGCGGATTAAACTGGTTTTCGCGTACGCCGCGTGTTTCCCGCCCAAGTTGAGAGAAGCCGCGAAGAATCGGGTGCCAAGTCACGCCTTTCCAACCAAATTAATCGTTCGTTGTGCCGAGCTCGGCCTAACCGCGGCTTCGAAATTGAATTAAACCTTTCCCCCCCCTTCCCCTCTCTGTTCGGTGATGGATCGTTATGCCTACGCGGCCCGAGCTCACCTCGTCTCGAGACATATTCGGCGGATTGATCTAATTAGACAATCCTCTCCAGTCGATGGAAGGGTGGAGGAAATTGATTGAATCACCCTAACCCATCGAGAATCGACGATGCCGCACAATATTCGATCGAGACGGGATCACGTTCTCGAGAACCGAGACGTGTTCTAATCAACCAAAGCGGTTTACGTCGATCGGTTTTCATAGGTCGGTTTCTTCGCCGCGAGAATTGATTGGAACACGTGTATTCCATGGATCATAGGTTGATACAACGCATCCTCTATACGGGTTCTTCTATAGCGTCGACGTGTCTGCCTCGTTATTTTTCCGTTCGCGTTCCTTCCGTCAAGCCAAGGACGGAACAGATATAAAACGCTTTACTCGTTGATAAGATAGAGAATATATCACTCGCGAAATAATCCGATCGTGTCGTTTAAATATTCTGAAAATATTTTCCCCGCGTCGAAAGGCCATCCGTTTCCATCGAAAGATCTCGGATTCCTCGAGGATCCAGTATTCGAGGAATACGTTCGAACGGTTCACAGCTCCCTCTTTCCCCTCGTGTAGGTATATATTCGCAGTCTGGTTCGACGAATTTCGCTCAAACCCCCCCCCCTCCCTCCCTCCCCAAATTTTCCGTACGATGAAGCTCTCGAATCCACGTGGATAATATTTTCGTTGCAGCAAGGCGACGATCGAGAAGTTAAACGAGAATCTACGAGAGAGGAAAGGCGCGGGGGTGGCCGAATAAATTCGACCCGTTTCAATTTCCGATAGCAATGGCGGCGTCGTTCCTCACCTTTCCTCCACCCTCCCTTTCGCCTATACCTTTCCCGCCCCATACCCCATAACGCGTCAGAGGCCACGTTTACTCTCGTTTCGCCCTCTATGAATTATTCGTACGGAACAACGGTTTTGCCGTCATAATTTTCCTTCCAACGTTGCAGCTTGATCGTTAACTCTTCCCGTCCCGTATCCCGAGAAACGATTTTCGAGACTGAATTCTCATAAAGTTACCGTTAATTTGCGATAATTAGCTTTGACAATTCGATTAAAAACTGCTTTCAAAAATTATCGATCTGTAATGCACGTATAATAGTTCGATATAATAAAATTTAATAGAGATAAAAGAAAATTATAGAGCGTAACAAATAATATATAAGAGAGCGATGGAAATAAATTATATAGTTCTATCTCGATAAAAATCGATGTTGATTTTATCAAAAGTACATTTTTTTTCAACCCGATATTTTTAATGCTAAAAGAAGAGGAAAGGAAAGGAAAAAAAAAAAAATAATAATATTCGAGTCGAAAAAGGAATGTAACTTCGCATAATTGAACGGGAAAACATGTTGATTTAATCAGAGTAAATAAAAAACTTGTGACCACGCCGAAGCAATTTATAATCGATGCGTCAGAGAAGCACCGCACGTTGGAAGTGTCGCGCGAGATAAATCAGTCCCCAGCTCCATCGAGTCTGCCGAATTATCTGATAACAATGAGTAACAGGGATGCGCGAGAGCGTGTCTTTTAAATTCTCTTCTACCCGATAACACGCGCGCGTCACGCCAATTGATCTCGATCGCGATATTTTCGCCTGATAACGGAATTTCGAGCGTTCGCGCTTCGATCTTGTGCCGCGAAAGAGAAAGAGAGAGAGAGGAAAAGGATGGCAGGCTCGTAACTAAGCCGCAACGAAGGTAAATAACATTGGGAAATTAAATCGTTTTCGACTGATTTTCGAGTTGTTAAACGGCGGTTAACCGTTCGAGCGCGTATGACGGAAAGATCGATAAACCAGACTCGATCCTTGGACCGAGCAATTTCTCCGCAAGTGTCACGCGCCCGGCGAATTTTTCCACGAAAATTATTCGAATCGATTTCCTCGCGTGGACAAATGGCTGGTTTTTGCATGGATTACGACCGTGTTTCGCGCGGTTTCCATTTAAAAGCTATTACACAGCGCCAGGCCAGGTTTATACACGGTCGACGACATCTGTCTCTTTTGAGAAAACACAGTTTTCAGCCATCTGGATTCCGGATGGTTAATTTCACAGTAGCCAACCCTCCGTCCGCTCAGGTTTAAGGTTACAAATCATTTTCGAAAGATCACGTAAATCTTGAGTTTGACGAAACCTTTTTGTCGATAATTCATTCGGGCTCGCTCCATAGAAATGTCACGAAAGTATACCAAATATACCTGTGTCTTCCTTCCTTGGATCCTTAGCTTACACGGGATGCAAGGATAATGCGGACAAAAGATATTGAAGAGGTTAAGATTTTCTTTTTCCAGAGATTTTTTTTCGATGATGATTGCAAACAAGTTAGCATAACCTGTCAAATGAAACCTGTCTTTTTTTAAGATAATAAATAAATAATCACCAAAAAAACGTAAATTTTATATCACACAACGATTATAACGATTCGAAAAACGAGATCATTATCCATGATAAATAAAAAAAAAAGAAAAGAACAACGCTTTGAGCGTTCACGACACTGGAAACGAGATCCACGATATCCCACGATGTGGCAAAGTTGGAGAGTCGAGACGACCTCTTTCGAGATTAACCCTCTCTCGACTTAAGTCTTGTAACTTATCGTCACCGGATGAAGATGCTCGAAGAACGTTGATAACGGAATGGTCTCTCGTGTCACCAAGTCTCCCCTGTAATCCCTCTCTATAAATGCATCCGATGCATTGTGTGTGCACTGCTTGCTGGATACCTGGAACACCAAGATATTTCCTGCAGGCATTCGCATTCCGTCACGTTTTGCTATTTCTCGATTGTTCAAAAATTTGAACAGAATATTATTATCCGCGCTATTTTCAAGCATTCAAGAATCACATAGTATATATAATTTACATATCGTATCGAGTAGAAAAAGCTTTAATTACCTTTATAATTATAATTTGCCATTGACTTGTACACGAGATATTTTTCTTAACGTTTATAAACCGTGAATGCATTCATTCCACGCATACTTCGTGCGTAATTCGTAATAATAAATTACGTCTATTCCTCATCGATAAATAATTTAACCAAATCGAATCCAATATATAAGAGATTCCTCGAGAAAAAGATACGAAACGCATAACGGAAATAAATGGAGAAGAGAGTCGCGTAAAAGAGATGAACGAGTTATACGTACGATACG